GTACATTTTTCCTTTTAAAACTACTGTTTTATAGGAAGCATATTATTATTTTCTGTGTCATGTCTGGTGAGGTCTGAATATTCATTATACCATGTTTCCCTGAAAATACGACAGGGTCTTATTTTCTTTTGTCCCACGAAATATGGCCTTGGGCTTATTATCAGGGAGGGCTTATTGTTTTGGGGTTGCCGGGTGGCTGCTCCCTTGCGAGCGGGCTCCCAAAGAGCCGGGCACAGCCTCAGGGACGAAGCAGCCATGAGGTAACCATGTTCATGAGCAGCCGCCCGGCAAATCCCCTCTCCAGCCAGGCAGAGCACCATTCACTGACCTAGGGGGTATCATTAAGGCGCCAAGCCACATGGTGCTCTGCCCGCCCCCCCCAGCTCCCGCAGCTTGGCACATTTGGGATACCCCCTAGGTCAGTGCATGGAGCTCTGCCCGGCTGGAGAGGAGCGTTGCACGAGTGCCTGTTCCACCCCCAGCCTCACCAAGCCCTTGCGCAGCTCTCCCAGGGCACCGCCGCTGGCTGCTGCCATGCTCCGAGCATAACTTCCAAACTCCAAAATTTGGGGCCAAATCTTCCAGCATCGGCCGCTCTAGGAGTGCTCTCTATGGTGGGCCGGCTGCTGGACAGAGAGTCTTCCGGACAGAGAGTCTTCCAGCAGCCGATCCACCATAGAGAGCACTCCTAGAGCGGCCGATGCTGGAAGACTCGGCCCTGAGTTTTGGAGTTTGGAAGTTATGCTCGGAGCGTGGTGGTGGCGGGCGGTGGCAGTGCCCTGGGAGAGCTGCGCAAGGGCTTGGTGAGGCTGGGGGCGGAACAGGTGCTTGTGCAACCCTCCTCTCCAGCCAGGCAGAACTTCATGCACTGACCTAGGGGGTATCCCGAATATGCCAAGCCGCGGGAGCTGGGGGGCGGGCAGAGTGCCACATGGCTTGGTGCCTTAGTGATACCCTCTAGGTCAGTGAATGGCACTCTGCCCAGCTGGAGAGGGGATTTGCCGGGCGGCTGCTCGTGAGCATGGTTACCTCATGGCTGCTTCGCCCCTGAAGCTGTGCCTGGGTCTTCGGGAGCCCGCTCGCAAGGAAGCAGCCACCCGGAACTCACCCCTCTGGCCAGGCAGAACGTCACTCCCCAACCTAGCAGTATCCTGAAAGCGGCAAGCAATGTGAGCGCCTTTCCACCCCTCCTGCCTCCCGCAACTTGGCACCTTCGGGATACTGCTAGGTCGGTGAGCGGTGCTCTGCCTGGCCGGAGGGGGGAGGGTTGTCCAGGACACTTATGTTCAGGGGTGGGCTTATATTTTTGCCCACACGAAAAATGTGGCAAGACGTTAGTTTCATTCAGGATAGGTCGTATTTTTGGGAAAACATGGTAGTAGCCAGTAATTAAAATGAAAGTAAATTACTGTAATGAATATTAAAAAATTAATAAAATTTGTTTTGAGACAGACTGTTTCTTGCCTCTTCTTCAATATATTAAAATTAATTAAGGATTAAAGTATCCATATATTTTTGGGAAACAAAAGTATAACAAGAGGTTGTACTGGTAGGTTTATAATAAAATGTTACGAACAGCTGGATAAGACCCTGTTTAATTTACCTTACATCATTAAGATCACACTTATTTCCAGCAATTGCTACAACAATATTGGGTGGTCCATGCTGGCGAAGTTCTTTTACCCAGTTTTTTAATGTTGAAAATGTTTCCTAAAATGGAAGCAACAAGATCAGTAAATCTAATAAAACAGCCAATTTGTAGATTTTGCAAATGTATTTAATTTACCTCTTTTGTAATATCATAGACTATAATAGCTGCTGAAGACCCTCGATAATACATTGGTGCCAGAGCACGAAACTGTAAAGAGGAAGAACACATAAAAATGGCTTCTATACCATAGCAATCATATCAAATATTTAATGAAACGGGGATTGAAATATGAGTAAGAGAAATAAAATAGAATTCATTATAAGGCATCTTTGTCCTCTTATCAGTTTTTTTCTCACATTTCCTCCAAATAAATAAGTAATACAATTAAATGAGAATCTAAGTATAACTACTTGGAAAACCAATTTAAACAAAGAGAAAGTGGTTGGCTCTGATCACTTAGCAAGTTTTACAGTTCAGTGGATTATATATACCTAGAGCACTTTAAACTCTTAACCCTTTAACCAATATAAAACATGTTAATGCTCTGTGAAGTTTTAGGCAGCATTCATAAATTGCAGAACTGCAAGGAGACAGTATATATAGATTATATATTTATTTTAATTGTTTATGTCTTTTTAAAATAAAGCAATAAAGTTGCGGGCATAATTTCTTTTCCATTTCTAACACAATATTACCTATAGTATAATATCCAGCACATTGATTGGCATTTCGCTAGAATAGGAGGATATATAATGAATCTATTTATGATGTATCCATATAATTGCTAGAAAGATTTATAATAAAGCAACTAGAAATACAAAAAATGGCATATGATATAGAACTGTGGTGGCGCAATGGTTAGAATGCAGTACTGCAGGCTAATTCACTGCTCACTCTCATTTGTATATGCAATTTAAAACCTCAGCCAAAAGATCTAGAATGCATTATTTAGACGTAGTGAAAGGAGAGAAAAAAGATATCATAAAAGGTAAAAGGAAATTTCAATTTTAGGGATATCTATCTATCTATCTATCATCTATCAATCAATCAAATCATCTATCTAGTTTTATTATACTTGTGCCATGCTATGCAAGAAAATCAATGCAAATAATTTCTCAAAGCAACTAGGTTCCAGGCTGAATGGGACATTGAAGTTGAATGTTTTTCATTCTTAGTCATACTGACCCTTTCTATAGTTGCTACGAAAGGGGAGATCATCATAAATTCTGAGTCACAAAGCTAACAATACATCATGTTATCTTTGTTGCAAGAGCTTCAAGTTTTACTCAAAAAAAAACCAAGCATGGCAAAATCAGCTACATAGACATATTTAAAGAAGATAGATTCTGAAGTTTATTCTGTTATTCAAACCTGAAGATTGATAAGAATTCTGAGACAATTAACTGAGACAATTGGTCTTATGTAAAAATCATATTTTTACCATGTGTTTCATATTTCAAAAACATGAAATATCTAGTAAGCATAGAGGCAAGGATACACCTACATTTTACAGATAGGTGATTTATTTGTTAATTAAATTCCCCATGTGGTAATGATTCAAGAGAAAACAACAATAAAATGGAGGACATATCAAGCAGTAACAATTATATATTATGGCTGTGCAAAACATTCAAAGGAGCACTTCTTAAAGTGTGTTGATGCAAATAGCAAGTGCGTGTGTGTGTCTCAAATTGTTGATATGACACTGTCCTCCAGAAGGCTGGGTCTTCCTATAGTGAGGGGTTGCCCATAATATAGAATTGCTTTGCTAGCAACTCCAGTGGACTACTGTCTACATATACACAAAAAGTTGATAAGGGAAAAGGCCCCAAAACAGCTCTGTATTCAAGAGGAGCCAACATGTTTTGCGAAGTGCCTCTTCAAAAGCTTTGCATGTAGCTTCCAAGAAAGTCACAGATTTAGATCCATGCATGGGATGGGGGTGGGGGAGCCCTACGTGAGCAAATATTAATGAAGCACAGAAAAAGGCTTCCTCAAGCCGGACATCATTTAAGGAAAAAGTGGGCAATGGGGGCTTCGTTTTTAAATATATTTTTTTCTAGAAGATATAATTATATCACCAAGGGCGCAAAGCTAAAATTTTGAGCCTTTTTTTTTACTGGTAAGTGTAAATTTAACTTACTTGAAACCACAATTCCAACAAAGGGGAAGTGAAAATTGTAATGAATTTAAAATAGCAATCTTAAGAGAAAAAGTAATAATCCTTCTGCTATGAGTCTAAGTTCACATGCTATACCAGGCTGTTTTATCATCAAAGACTCATTGAACTTTCTAAAATACAAGAGATAAATAGACTCAGAATACATAGAGCCTAGCACTAAAGAGTAATTACTAGTATACATTTAAATAAGGGTATCTTTTTCCCATGCATTTTCTACTATGCATCCAATTGTTTTCCAATGCATTGTCTAATTTTCTCTTAATTCGTGGACCTATTAGAATAAGACTACGTCTCAAATTTGAAAAAAAAGTAATGAAATGTCAATGAAGCAAGAACACAGTCATTTATCTATCCTTTATCTCAGCATAACATTTCACAAAACAATGATTATGAAATTCCCTATTACAAAACCTACATCTATACTATATCTACTAATGAAGATGAGCATTATAAAAAACCCTCACAATAACAGCCAACTATAAGTAGGTCACAGAGAAAGATGTCATCAACCCCCATTTAAAAATACTTCATCTACTTACTCGTTCTTGTCCTGCTGTATCCCATATTAGGAATTTATGCAATTCATTCTGATACTGTACTGTCTTGGTCATAAAAGACGCTCTGAAAAGAATGTTATGTATGAATATACCATAATACAAAGAATGCCCTGAACATCAATATATTTTTCATAAAGCATATTAAGGTTTAGATTAATTTTATAACTTTAAAGATGGGAGGGAAGGAAAAATATGTATATTTCATCTTTTCTTTATCTTGAAGTAAAGAGAATATACGAGACAACATAAATGCTTTAGACCAGTGTTCCCCAACCCTTTTGGCTTGGTGGACCAATGGGGGTGGGTGGGGGCAGATGGTTTTGTGTGCTTGCTGCTTTCATAAATACAGCTTCGTTTGTGCGCACACATGTGCCCTCACCCACCACTTTCATGTCCTGGTTTTGAACAGGTTGTGGCCCGGAACCAGGGGTTGGGGGCCTTTGCTTTAGACAAATAACATTGATTGAAGAATCCATTCCATTTTCTTTTCATAACAGATCTTAAAGAGGGACGAAAGTTCACAAAGTTCAAGTTGCTTCATTAGTGTTTATATTACAAAATAGGTTGCTGGACTGGCTGCTTTATTTTATTACTAGGAGAAGCTACATGGGACAGAATTTTGCTAAAATTGGGCACAAGGAACCGAGGCGTATTCATTTTCTTAAAAGCCTCTATTTACGCTATTTCAATTCCTACTGGACCTATTAAGTCAAAGACACAATACATCTACATGCTTTATTTAGTAAAACACAAAGATCTCAATTTATTATCTAAGACAAACTTTGCCCAATGAAAACTTTATCAAAGTTATCCTTATGCAACCAACATAAAACAAAAACTGGAACCAGAGGACAAAATACATTGATATAACATACTTTTAATGTTGCAATTTATACCACAAGAATAGCAGGACTGCCATTCTCTACCAATTAGATAATGGTTTGAATTGCTTCTCATTGCATACTTGAGCAAGCATTCAATTACTCAGAGTGGAGAAGGATTGTTGAGTAATTTTGTCTGAATATACTACTCAATAAGTTAAAAGGTCCACTTTCTTTTCTTTTATACAAATTGATTTAACTAAACAATCACGTAGTATGATATAAATACACAGTTAAGACTATTTAAATAGACCATGAGCAATAAATATTCACAAACATTCTTATTGTTTTATTTTCTTTAGCAAATAACAACATTAAAAACCCTAAACATGGATGTAGTTTCGTGTATCATTAATCAGAATAATATGGTTATTTTTGGTATTGTTTGTGAAATGAAAGTTTGTTTCTTGGCATTGTTAAAATGTGAACAATCATCCTAAGGATGCCGAATAATAGCTTCAAACTTTATTATGTGATTTTAATTGCAGAATTACTAAGCCACACTTCAAATGTTGAACAAAATTCATGATTTATGAAGTGATATGACTTTGGAAGGAAAAAATATGTAACCACAGTTTTCAAAGTCTCTGTTGTCTTCAACTGAAGGAAAACAAATGTGCAGGATTGCCTATTTTTTAGAAAAAACTGATACCAATTCGTTAGATGGATTTTTGAAAGGTCAAAAATAAATGATTCAATTTTAAAGAATTCAGGATACAGTGTATACAGGTTGTACTACAGAAGACGAGAGCCAGTTTGGTTCAGTGGTTAAGGACCCAGGCTAAAAACCAGAAGAATGTGAGTTCTACTCTCACTTTAGGCATGAAAGTTGGCTGGGTGACTTTGGGCTAGTCTATCTCTCTTTTAGCTCATCTCACCTCACTGGGATGTTGTAGGGAAAATAGGAGGATGGAGTATTAAGAGTATTTGCTGCCTTGAGTTATTTAAAAAATAATAAAAGTGGGATAAAAATAATATAAATTCAGATTCTCCACATATCTATGTGTACCATGACTGAATGTGGAAATAAAGTTGGATGGGTGGATACTGGAGAAATAGGCCCTTGTGGTTGACCATACAGGAAGCCTTTAAGTCTTCATATAAGCTAAGAAGTGGAAACCCATCTTACATTAATGGCATTAGAGTACAGGATGTTACCACGAAAAACAGAAGTATTCCAACTATTACATTATGTTAAAATTAGCACTTTAAAAAAATGAAATTAAATAATAAAGCTGGCTTTATATAGAATACAAATTTAAGATTTAACTTTTTCTGAAATCTTAATGGCAATATTTGTAAAGTAATGGAAACAGCTACTAATTTGCATTCACAATCCATTTTCCAAAATAAATTTCTGTACTCCTCTCAAAAATGGCTTAACAAATATTCAGTTCAATTCATTGAAATGATTTATATATGACTGCTCAACTAGCAGATTTTATAACAAGGGTGTACATAGAAATAAAAATACAAAATAACTAATAAACATAAAAATCACAAGAAGCACAACACAATATATCGTAACATAACCAAGATCATACCATAATCTTATTAACATTTAGGATGGACTCATTCAAAGTTCTATCTCAATGCTTTGGGAATAACCCAGATTTTCAGGGTTTTATGGAAACCCAATAGAGTTGGAGCTATCTTATTCAAGGTGGGGAGATTATTTTGTTCCAAAGGGCAGACATAATGACAGAGAAGTCCTGCATTCTAGGTTCTACTATACGACGCTGTTTCATTGAAGAGACATCATATCCATCCTATTAGGCCTCGTGGGACAGGTAGAAACAGCAGGAGATAGGTGTTCTTGCACATCTTTCCTTATTTAATATATTCACTAGTTACCTATGTAAATTAAGCAAACCCTAATTTGCTATTTGAACCTTATATTTTAAAATTAAATTTAAGAATAAGTTTAGGATAACTGTAGATCAAATGATCAATCTTAAGTCATTAGAGAAATATTTGTAAATTTTATTTCCTTGACATACCCTCCTTCCCTTGTTCTGGACACTTCTATCTAGTCATTAATTATATTGAAGTTCTCCATGAGAGACTATTGTGGAATCTGAGGGTCCTCTTGGACTCACAGCTCCTGTATAAGAGTAGATGGCAGCCGTGGCTGAGAGAGTCTTCACATAGGTTACCTAGGTGCACTTGCACCTGTTCCTGGACTGAGAAGTCTTTCAGATAGTTACTGAAGTGTTACCTTTAATTGGACCATTGTAATGCACCCTATATGTGGCTGCCCGTGAAGATCACTTGAAAAATATAGGTGGTCCTGAATGCAGTGGCAGGTGCAATGATGTCTCTGCTGCTTTGAGAGCTGCACTGGCTGGCAGTTGGCTTCTACGTGTCATGGAAGATATTACCACCTCTAAAGCCCTTCCTGCCATAGAGCCTGGTTATTTGGGGGACCATCTGTCTACATGGGTCTGCCCATGTGGTAGGGTCAGGAAGTTTAGTTTATATTTGCTCTTATTGTTGTAACTAAAATCTTTAATAAAATTGTGAAAAACCACCACACAGTTTATGTAACTCTTAGCTTCCTAGCTCATTGTTTTATATGAAACTTCTATTTTTTAATATTATTTAACTTATACGCTGCCCATCTTGTCGAGGTGATTCTAGGCAGCTTACACTCATAAAATTAAAATAGGATAGAAAACCTTAAAACAATAAAAACCTAATATTTAAAATTCAGATAAAATTCAATCAAGATGGGAAGAAGGGAACAAGTGTGCATGGGGAAAAGGTGGGGTCATTAATCACCTCCAAGATGCCACTCCCCCTTGGGGCCCCAGTCCAGCAGGCAGAGGCAGTTTTAGGTACTTACCCAATTGTTGGATTGATGTTTGGATCAAAACTGTCCTCTACAAAGCGCCATACAATGCTTGATTTGCCCACGCCTGTGTCCTTAAAGAAAAACGAAACAGGCACCATATTTTTTGGAGTATAAGACGCACCAGAGTATACGACGCACCAAGGTTTTGAAGAGGCATTTTTTTAAAAAAGTAGGTAGGTAGATAGAGGGAGATAGAGGGAGAGAAATACAGTAGGGAGGGAGGGAGGAAGGGAGAGTAGGTAGGTAGGTAGGTAGATGTTTTCAGGTTCATTTATCCATAAGTATAAGTATAATCTTTATTGTCATTGTACTTAAATATTACAAAATTGGTTATCCATGTGCTGGAGAAGGAAATCACTGACAATCTGCAGCACCTAAGACTTTGTTTCTGCTGGCACAGTACTTGATCAATGTAATTCTCATCAATCAGTTAAAGAGTTTTCCAAAAGGAAAAAAAAAGTTTTTGCACTCTGCAAACCTCCCAAAAACGGGCCTGTTTTCCCCCCCAAAAAAGG